CCCGCCGCCCGAGGAGGAGGTGGAGGGAGCCGGAGGGGCCCGCCGAGGCGGCGGCGGCGGCGGCGGCGGCAAGATGGCGGACTTCCTGCCGTCGCGGTCCGTGCTGTCCGTGTGCTTCCCCGGCTGCGTGCTGACGAGCGGCGAGGCCGAGCAGCAGCGCAAGTCCAAGGAGATCGACAAATGCCTGTCCCGGGAGAAGACCTACGTGAAGCGGCTGGTGAAGATCCTGCTACTGGGCGCGGGCGAGAGCGGCAAGTCCACCTTCCTGAAGCAGATGCGGATCATCCACGGGCAGGACTTCGACCAGCGTGCGCGCGAGGAGTTCCGCCCCACCATCTACAGCAACGTGATCAAAGGTGCCGGGCCGGGGTCGGGGGGCCGAGGGCGGGGGCCGGGGGCGGCCGGCGCGGGGCCGGGCACCGCCCTCGTTCGCTCTGTCCCTGGCGGAGGAGCGGGCCCGGCGAGCGGGCGGGAAGGGGGCGCGGCCAGGGCACCGTCCCGCCTGCCCGGGGTGCCGTCGCGCCCCAGGGAGAGGATGTCGGGGGGCCCCTCGCTTCGCCCTTCCCGTCGGAGTGGGGGTCACGGCCGGCCCCTTACCCCCCACCCCGCCGTTGGCCTCGCCCCCTCCGAGGGGGAAGTGAGGCGAGCCCGGTGCCCGGGCTCCGGGGCGACCTCTCCTGTCTTCTTCCCTCCAGACGAGGCGGGAAGACCCGAGAGCCAACCCCTGCACCCCCACCCCCTGCTCGGGCGCTGCCTGCCCAACCTCGCCGCCCCGGGTGGGTGACCCGAGTCAGATGGGGTCGGGTCTGCTTCCAACTCCCCGCTTCCTTGGCCGCCTCCTGAGCAAGGGATTTCTGGAACCGTCGCGATAAGAAAACTTTTGCCTGAGACTCTTGTCAAGGGCGAAGAGTGACAGGCCCTGGGCATTTTTGGGCAAGGATGTGAAACTTGAGGGTGTCATGTTTACTGTGCTGGCATCAGGAAAGGGTAGACCCATACAGTTCGTCTGAAAAAATTAGCATCAGTGGTTTTTCGCCTCAGTGTCACGGTCGGGCAGGATGTTTGCCTGTAATCACTATGCAACACGTTCCACTCTCCTTTTTGCTTAATAACTGGGGGCGGGCGGAGGGGAGGGGGTACCCACCACTTGCTTCTACTATTTAAATGAAGTCGTGCTTTGATAGGAAGAATCTTTGGCCTAAAAGTGATGCGGAGCCTGTACAGGTTGAGTCAATGAATCGTTGTCGGCTGGAATCACAGGGTCTGCTTCTGACAGTATTTTTAAAATTAAAGTTAAACTTTGTCCTTGAGTGAAAAGTTAACAAGAATTTTATGTCTGGGCTTTCAAAGAATTAGAGATGATGGTTTTTATTTTGTCATTTGAACGGTAATTAGAACTCATTTTTCTTAGTATCAGATGTTTTCTGCATAAAAGGCATTTTCGCAAAATTGAGATACAGAGCCTGGTACTTCAGGTGCATCAGGATTCTCTTTATTTTATCTGGGTAGCAGTTACTTAGGAGTTTGCTACAGATTTCGGGTGTTTTCAAGCAGTGTTTTTTTCAGTGGGATTCTTTTATTCTGGAACTACTTAAGCAACTCCTTTGTGTGGCTTTTTTTCCTCCCAGGATTGGGTAGAGGAAAACTGCCTGGGCTGGGGGGAGTACTGTGGGGTAATGGAGGGGAGTAAAACACAGGGCCAGGAGTTCACAGACCACAGCTAGCTCTGAGCCTTAGTACCGCTGCAGTTAAGCTGTGCGAAAAGTTGTGCTTATCCTATCTTAATGTTGAGCACAAAACTAATTAAGGTCCCTTTCAAGGCCGAAGACTCCGCCTTGCCAGTCTTTAATTGAAGGTACCTTTGTATCCTGATGCAGCTGATCTTATGGAATTATGTCAAAGAATAGAGTCAACATGTTAACTGATTATGAGCCAGGTAAACACCTGGTTCTTAATGTGCACTAGGTCGTAAGTGTGACCTACTTTGAACATTGTTTATGAGATGAAGTCACTAGACATCTACTTTTTTTGAGTTGGCATGATGAGAAAATTGACAGCAAAACAATTTTTCAGTTGTCCAAACAAATGACTTAATAGTCATGTGACTATTAAGATGGACCAAGATAACAGTTTAGTGATAGGAATATTGAGTTTGAACTAATCTCTGTGAGTGGAAATCTCTCTCTCTTTTGCAGTTGATCTTCCTCCCTTTTAGGGAAATCGAAGGCCATCCTGTGACTTACACTGATTTGAAGCTTGGTATGAGAGAAGTGTTTGAGTTTTGAATGTGTTCCTAGAAGACTCAGTGTTGGGTTATAAGCAGGGTGCTCAGGGAACAAACAGAACACAGCGATAATGTTTGGTTCTTGGCGTTTCATAAATAAATGTCTTTTTGAGAGGCTCATAAAATCTTGGTTGCAGCCGTTTTCTCCAGAGCCTGGACATCGGGCTATGCAGTATAATTTCTTTTTCCTTCACTAGTTTTAGTTCTCTTGTGACTACCTTCTACCCCAGAAGTTATTTTATAAATTAGAAATGTGAAAAGTCTTCAGAAAGAACAATTATGTTAATAGTATTTGCTTTTCAAGGCTCTAATTTTATGACTCTGAACAACTGTTAGGTTTTTTAAGCTCTGAGAAGTTATGGTGTTTGTTTTGATGTTGGTCTCCATTTTGGAGGTGGTGGGCCTGGAGCAGTTACGAAGTTTAAGAAAATAATACTGGAATAGAATCTATAAGAATATCTAATGACTCCTATCACACTGTTTTTTTTCTTTTTAAACAAAGGTATGAGGGTGCTGGTAGATGCTCGAGAGAAGCTTCACATTCCTTGGGGAGATAACTCAAACCAGCTCAATGGAGATGTGATGATGGCATTTGACACGCGGTCCCCCATGGCGGCCCAGGGCATGGTGGAAACCCGGGTTTTTCTACAGTACCTTCCTGCTATAAGAGCCTTATGGGCCGACAGTGGCATACAGAATGCCTATGACCGGCGTCGAGAATTTCAGCTGGTGAGAGATTTGTTCTTTTAAAATGTGATTTTATTTTAATGACATTTTTTAATATCTGATTCTGACACACCATTTTTGCTGATTTCCACAATATAATGTATCTATCTAGAATTTTAGCCTCAGAAATTTGGATTGCTATATAGATGAGCTTCTTAAACCAAGCAAGATAAAAATAAGGTAAACCCCGTAGATTTGATGAAGCTATTATATTTAATTGGTCCTTTTTCCTTTTTGAAAGTGAGATTAGAGTGATTTTCTTAGGCACTTCTAATTTTGTTCTTTTGAGAATAATTTCCTCTCGATTACAGCAATAATATTCATCCTTCTAGAAAAATTGACCTTTTACTCTTGGACTAAGAGTTCAGTAACCAACTCTAATTGTTCAAATGTGCTATTTAGTCTTTAGAGGTACTCGTTTTATGGTACAGATTAATTTAATATATAGAGAGATTAAAATCTTTAATGTTTAACAGTCATTGTGCTTTTTATATATTTGCATTCTGTGTTTTTTTTAAGGCTTCTAACCACACTGAACAAAATGTTCCTTTTTAAAAAACAAAATAATCTTAGTTACTTTTTGTACCTCTGTTTCACATGGGAAGCACCTAGAATTTACTTTACATTTATTTTTTCTACTTTGTCTTAAACCCATAAAACTTTGTAGCTGTTACACAGCATTGAAGAGAGGGTGAAAAAGAAAAGATCTGATCTAGGTTCAAGGTACAAAAATAATAATTGAAATAGATTTTTTTATCAGTGTTTTGTAATTTAATTGTGAATGCTTTGATTGTATTCTTGGTTTTATTTGCCAAAGACCGGAAAGATCCCAGGAATGATAGCAATCTAGACTTTATGCAGTTTGAAGGTAGTTCAGATCAGAAGTGTTTTACTGTAATATGATCAAAGTAAAGTGACAGTTAAAAGTAAAACTGCTTAGAAAGTTGTTTGATGATGTCACCCGTGTTAAAGTGATGCACATTTATGGGTGTGGCTACAAAATGATGTGTAGCCAGCAGTCTTTGCTATTATAATTTGTACTCAGAAGCAGTCTTGGCTGTTAAAAGTTCTAGAAAAGTGTTCATGATAACCTTTTATAAAACTGATACAGAATCTTTACTTTGAATTATGGCTCTCATGTGTACCATACAGCCTAGCACTTCATTGTGTACTGTCTTATATAGTTCTCTTCTTCTGTGTGTGTGTCTTGTCAAGTAATTTGTCCATTAATGAAAGCAGAAACTATCTCACATTATTGCTAAAATTGAGTAGCTGGCGGCATTATATTTTGGAATTAGGCATTTAACTTGACAAGTGACCGCCATCCAATTCTCAGACATGTGGTTAATTTTTGTCCTTTGGTCAGTGTTTGTTATTTTATTTTTGGTAGTCTCGCTTGCATAAGTTCCTCCATACATCCCTCCTCCGTCTCCCTTCACCCTCCCTCATGTTTTTAAGTGCTGCTTATTCTCCCTTTTTCTTAATTCATTTTCTCAACAAACCACACTTTCCATTCTGAGTTTTCCATTCTAAGTATTCATTCTTCTAGGTCAAGGAAGAAACATCCACCTGTAATAGCATCCACTACACATTGATTGAGTGAATAAACAAGTGACTGTACAGTCACACATCACTTACAACGGGAACACATTTTGAGAAATGCATTGTTAGGCGATTTTGTCGTTGTGTGAACATCATAGAGTGTACTTACACAAACTTAGATGGTATAGTCCACTACACACCTAGACTCTATGGTACTAATCTTGTGGGACCACCGTCATATGTGCAGTCCGTCCTTGATCCAAACATAGTTATGTGGCCCATGACTGTACTCTAAAGTTCTCTGTAGGAAGGTTCCATGAGTCCATTTAATTGAAGTTGGGCTTCACTGACTCTTCTTGAATTTGGACATTCATGTCTTATAGTCTCATATCAAGACTGTCATGTCATTGTTGAAAAAGCATTCCTAAAGATTTATTTGCCATTAAGAACAAGTAGGTACAACCTCTCAGGATGAGGACCTGCATGTTCTTGACTTGAGCCAGCTGTTGCTTTAAGGGCAAAGAAAGCCTGAAGGGTGAGGAGAAACAAGTTCCAGAAATACTTTTTTTCCTGATAAAAGGTAGGGACACAAGAAAAGAGGAACAGAGAGAGATCTAATTTTAAACTCCTGGAGGACAGGAATTTTTTTCCTGTGTGTATGTTAATGGTATCTGGCATGTATAGTAGGTGCTCAGTTATTACACTGAATTAATGACTCTCTTACTTTTGAATGCTCTGTGGTGTTTGGCATAGTATTGGACCCCGAGAAGGCACTTGGCTTATTTAAAATTTTCCTCAAAGTCATCTTCAGTTCCTTCTCTTGTTTACATACAGCATATCCCCAAGGCCAGTCTTTTCTACCCTTGAAAAGTCTCTTGCATCCATTGCCTCCTTTCCTCCTTTACATTGTTGTCGCAGTGCCTTTTGCTTGGACTCTGAGGTAATCTTGTTCAAACACAGCATAGGTTTGCTCAAAACACTTTGCTTATTCTCCATTGCCTCCAGAACAGAGTTCAGCCTCTCTAAGTGAGTCAGTCTAGCTAGCTTACCCACGATGCCGACAATGTATTTCATTAGACCACTGCACATACCCTGTAACTTCTCAATTCCCACATAGCCCGATTTTCTACTTCATAGTTTTTTCCACAAAGTCCTTCTGTCAGGGTTTTTCATTACCATATCTGTTCATTAGGTCTTACCTTTCACTTAGAACAGTGGTAATCAAGTTTTAATGTGACTAAATGTGGTCCATGGACCCCTTGCATCAGATTCACTGGAATGCTTGTTTAATACAAAACAAAGATTCCTAGACTCCATCACAAGAGGATCTGATTCAGGAATCTGGGATGGGACCCCATGATCTGTATCTGTAGCCGACAGCCGTAGGCTATTTGGGTGAATTTGCTCCTTGGTCACACTGAGGAACAGTGTGTCAGGTCAGAGCTTTCCCCAGTCCTACCGGCTGGAATGCACTCTCTGCCCTCCCTGCTTTCTAACCTCGTCTAGTCGCCTGTGTTCAGGTTATTTGCATTCGTGTTTGGCTCTCCCACTAAAGTAGAAGCTCCTTTGGTATGCCTTGTTTGTCTTTTTCTCTCTCACTAGCATAGGGCCTGGCACTTATTTTATTTCCTCACTTTTTAGACATTCTGAATTATAAGATTCTTCTACAAAAAAAGAAACATCCCACATTAAGTTCCTTTTGGGAAATATGAAATGTTTCTACATGCTTGTTTGTTAATTTTCCAGGAGATGGGAAGTCCTTGTATCACAGAATCTTAATTTTTCTTTTTTATTATGTTTAACAATGTATATTCTTAAATCTTGGATAGAAAAAGTAACATCGGGAAATGGGAAGAGTTAGCAGATAAAATAAAATTAGCCTTTTTTGTTTCAACTAACGATTGATTATTAAACTTAATGCAAATTGAAATGCAAAAAAAAAAAATGGGGACAGTTTGAAGCCTCTCTGTGGCTTTTTTGCTTAACGTGAATGACTGCCCTGTAATTGGTCTTGGGGACAAGGGATAGGGTAGTGATATCACAACTTAGGTTTTTAGCAGGCCATTTGTTTGTTAGTAATAACTTCAGATGCAAACATGAATGTTTTCTTTCCCAGTTCCCAAAGGCAAACATTTCCTTTTCTGGGTAGTTTCATTATGGGTAAACTAAATAGCTACTGTGGAAAAAGAAAAATCTAAGCTTCACGTTGTTGTGATAGCTTAGGGTACCTTCCTAGTTCTTATAAACTAGCACACTGCAGGTAATCTATCCTAAGAAGTGGTCTCTGTTAGTACTGGATTAAATATTTGTACTGCCCCGCTTTGACTGTACCTTCACTGTAGCCTGCCACTGGGCTGGTGAGAGACTCTCTCTTTAGAAAAACTTCGTATGTGACTATAGCTACAGAATCTGGTAATTTGGATGATTAAAGAGATGGGAGTCAAGCATTGGCTGGGAAATGATACAACTGGAGATATGTAGCAAAAGTAACAAAATGGCTAGGAATCACGGCCAGTTAATTTTTTTTAATGTTAGTATAAACATTATATATGGTTGTATTTATTATACATATAGTATAATGTATGTTATATACGGTTACTTATTCAGAAATATAAGCAAAATTTATGGAACTGGTTATATAGGACGGGAAAGTGTGTGACAGTGGGAGGAACACTCCAGAGCGTCTTAGTTTCTATAAACACTTAAGCATTGTCAGCATTAATACTGCTTCCTGTAGTGACCAGTCTTTGCAATTCCTGAAACCAAAACTGTTTTCTTTGTTATCATGGTACCTTCAGTTAGACTTAATTTTTCTTACTCAAGTAGTACAGTTTGTACTTGATGATAGTTACAGTTCTCCAAGCTGATGAGGTAGTTTTTCATTAAGACAGAGCTTCCCTTACTCCGTGTAACAAAGTAACTATTTAGCCTCACGCGTTAGCTTGTAAAAAGGAGCTGAGTGGTAAGTAAAATAGGAACTTCAGTTTGGGCTACAATACTTATTTCTTTTATTTGTACTGCAGCATGGGTTTGAAATTATAGTCATTGGTTTATTTAACACTAATTTGGATTTGCTTTAAAATGAATCAGTCACTACTTTCAGTTGTAAACTGTTATCATGTTTCTAGTTGAAGAAGGATTTGGTCCATTTTCTCTGTGAATAAAATCGAAAAAGGACTTTTACTTCAAGTTGTTAAAAACGTATTGTCTACTGATTCTAGGGTTAGGGTAAAATATTTCAGCCTATATAACATAGGATTTTATATAACATTAGAGACTGTAGAGAGTTTAAAATTTACGTCTCTTTAGATAGAATTTCCTTTTGGTGAATTTGGTCAAATGTCATAGTGATTACATTTTAGCTGAACCTTGGAAACCCAAAGCTATAGTATTATTCACATTGGAAACAAAGAGGATGTTTTGGCATGTGCTTATGGTTTTAATACAACTTGGTGAGATAA